TGTCCATGGACTTCATCACTCAACTGCCAAAAACTAAGGGAGGTCATGATGCTATCGTCGTATTTGTCGATAGACTGACCAAAATGGTCCGCCTAGCAGCCATGACCACCGAGCTCTCCGCAGAAGGAGTAGCTGACCTGTTGGTGCAGAATGTGATAAGGCACCACGGCCTCCCCTCTCAGATAGTGTCCGACAGAGACGTTCGGTTCACTTCCAAGTTTTACCGGTACCTGGCCGAGAGGTGGAAGATTCAGCTCAACATGAGCACTGCGTACCATCCACAGACGGATGGCCAGACCGAAGTCATGAATCGGATTCTGGAGGATTACTTACGCAGCTATACGCGTTCTGACCATGACGCGTGGGATGAACTGTTAGCCATGGCCGAGTTTGCGATGAACAACTCGAAGAATAGTTCTACCCAAGAGACCCCATTCTATCTAAATTACGGGAGGCACCCAAAGAGTCCCTTAGCTCTTGGTGTGCAAATTCGGAAGCCTTTAAAGGGCTATGACAATCTGAATGCCCGCGGCTTGGCAGTGGCCATTGAGAGGGCACAGCAGCCTTATTTGAGGCAGTCTGGTACACCCCTCGTGGAGGGATTACCAGCAGTGACACGATTTGATCACCGTGTCCAAACGGCGCTGAAAGAGGCCAGGGCGTGCTTGGAAAAAGCACGAGATAGGCAGTCGAAGCATGCTGACCACCATCGGAGGGAAGTGTCATTTAATAAAGGAGATGACGTCCTCCTTTCGACACAACATATCACCCTCAAGCACCCTGGAACTCGAAAATTATTACCGAGGTGGATTGGGCCCTTCACCATCCTCGACCGGATAGGTTCTGTCGCATATCGACTAGAACTCCCGGAAAGCATGCATAGGATACATCCAGTATTTCATGTATCGAAGATTAAGCCTTATAAGGCAAGTGGCAGAGTACAGCCACCCCCAGTACCTATCGAGATCGAAGGTGAACTGGAGTATGAAGTTGAGCGTATCCTTGATAAAAGGATTAAAAAGCGTGGGAGACGCAAAAACTATGTTGAGTACCTTGTCAAATGGCTGGGATATGGACATGAGCATAACAGCTGGGAATCAGCAAAGTCAGTTGCAAATGCACAGAAACTGGTTCAAGCATTTGAAAATGGCAGAACACCTGTGATGTAAATGCAAACTGCGTGAAAGTACGGGATGTACATACTAAAACATGCTCATGTGTGACTATGCTTTGACAGGTTCTCCTGAGATGGGCCCAGAAGAACACTGGGTACACCGCTCCCCGTGCCAAGACGCAATTTGGACACATGAACGCCATGTCCGTTGCGATCTTGAATGGAGAAAGACTAGACATTGATAAACCGCTCGTGCCAGCCTCTCGAGGAGCTGGGCGTGTGCGTGGCCGCGGGCGAGGACGAGGTCCCGCACCGAGCCGACGCCCACCGGCATGGGCATTTGGTGGTTCCCATTCTCGGGGTCGCAGATGACAAGCCGGGAGGTCGAACATTCCAGCCATATGGCTGAGGAAGAGTTTTAATGAGGGTTGTGAAGACCGGGAGGTCATGTAAAAACAACCACTCTTTCTCTTCACCATAGTTTACATAATGTATGTGTGGTTCCCGCGACAACTGGGCATGTGGCAAATCGCACAGCCAGTTCTATTCCCACATACATAATGTTTCTGCTCCCATATCCATATACATTGGGACGAGGACGCCCCACCTCACTGAGGGGGACGAATGTTACGCGCACCGGCCTGGTGTGGGGGACACCCTACTACTGGCCCTTGGTGTGGGGGACGCCCTACCCAAGATCGTATTGTATTCCTTGTCCTACGGTAGCTCTTATACTTATAAGGATATGGGAGTAGGAGGGGTGGTCCCGCCTAGGTCCCCGTAAGGACCTAGGTGCCCGGCGAGGCGGGTCCGCGGCTCAAAGAGGGCAGGCGCCCCACACCCACAGACTTTTCGTATCAGACACCGTGTGCCTTGGCACAAGGTGGCACCTCCAGCATTTCATAGCTGGGCAGTTCCACATCGGGGCAAATGAAACAAGCATCGGCAGCAGGTATGTTTGAGGACCTTGCACCGCTTAATTTTGCTGGTGGCGCCATGCCCGTCACAGACACTCAACACAGCTTGCATCTGGTCAATAGGGAATTCAACTTGGCTCAGGTTTTGATGTCTTTGGGGACATCTTTGGCAGTGCATGCGCTGATATGCGCCTGAAGCCATCGAGGCAGAGGATGGATGCTCCTCCAGCCGAGGCAAAGAAAGACAGGACAGTTTGCCTCGGCTTCAAAGCAAGAAAGACCTCTTGGCTCCTGGCTCCTCGGGCACTCGCTTCCCACCAAACACCAACCCGGCGCTGCCCCTCGCGCCTCGCGGCTCCACCAAGTCCGACCCTGGGCCTCCAAACCACCGGCACTGCCCGCCGTGGAATCCAACCTCCATCGCTCGATCGTTGGGCATTCAACGGTTCCGATTTCCTCCAATTCGTAGAATCCAACCTCCATCGCTCAATTGGTGCGGCGATTCAGCGGTTCCGATTTCCGCCCAATCCGACCTGTCGCTGACCTGGCCCTCCCTTCCGAATCTCGCATAAAATCTGAGACCGGTGCTCCCAACCCCTGACCTCCCGGCCCCGCTCTCCTCCCCCACCCACCGGCCCACCCCCTGCCGCTGCCGCCCGTCGTGCCCAGGCGCGCTGTTGACAACATGGCGACCCTCCTCAAAGGCATCTTCAAGCAGGGCTCCGGCGAAATGGCCAAGACCCCCAGCTTCAACGACTTCAGCCTGTGCGCGCAGGACGGTGAGAAGCGCCCCTCGCTGAACGGCGCCCCGCGAGCCAGGCGGCAAGCTTTGTCGCCCACGAGAGGAAAAGTTGGGTCCAGCTGATTTGCGGTCAACTGCTTTTTCTTGTTTCGGGACGGCGCCGCATTCGGTTCGTTGGTAGTTCGGTGCGGAGCGGGGGGGTGGGGGGGGGTGGGGGGGGGGAGAGAAGCCGCTTGGCGGGGAGCGTCCCACACGCCAGCCGGCCATCTTTTGTCCGCGATAGGGGATTTAGTTGTAGCCGGCTTGAGGACAATTGCATTTTCTGGTGTCGAGAGGCCACGGAGGGGAGTGCGGGGGCCAGGAGGGTGAGAGAAGCACCGTGGTCGGCGGCACCCCACGCGCCGGCCGGCAATTTTCTTTGCCAACCAGAAGGGAAATTAAGCCGTGCCGGCTTGCGGAAACTTGCATGTGCTGGTTTCGATGTGGTCTGTTTGCTGCCAAGAGGAGTGGCACCCGGGGCTGAGTCGCTGTCGCGGTGTGCGTTGCCCGCCGCAGCCCCGTCGGGGGGGGATCAAATCTCGCTGGTGTGGGACAATTTGCCCGTTCTGATTCCAAGATGGCACTGTCGTCGGCTTGCTGCGTAAACGAAAGGGAAGGGTGGGGGTGGGGGTAAACCTGGGCTGAGTCTTTTGCCGCGGTTTGTCATGTGTGCGGCAGCCGTCGAGACGGAGATGAAGCGCACGAGCGAGGACGGCGGCGAGCGGCCCTCTCTGGAGAGGTCCAGTGGCGGGAGCCCCGTCGGGAGCCCCAGCGGTGAGCGCCCCTCGACCCGGCGCTTCCTTTTCCTTTCTGCTGCCTTCTCTTTTCTGTCGACGGCGCCCGGGGAGTCGCCTTGGCCTGCGCCTGCCCTCCTCCTGGCTGCCGCGGCTCTTGGCATGAAGCTCGTGGAGAACACAGGCGCGAAAATGCCAGCTCGTGATCGGAAGAAGGCCCTGAGGTCGTCTTCGGGGTTGCGGTTGGTCTGGTTGGGCTGTGCTGTTTGTTCCGCGTGCGGTGCTGTGAGCGTTGCGTGGTGCGCCGTTTGGCTGATCTTGCCGCGTCGTGTTGCAGGCGCGAGGAAGGATGTGTGGCAAGGAGTGTTCAACCCTGGGTGAGGCGCCATCCCCTGTTGCTGTGCAACCCCTGTCTGGTTTCGTCTCCTTTGCTGTTCTCCTTCCTCTCTGTTGGTCCCCATTTTGGTTTGCGATCTTGGCCCCTGGTGTGAAGCCCCTTCCGCATTCCCTGCTGTGCCCCAGGCGCAACTTCAACATGGACAAGGTGGGAAAGAACTATTTTGACCATGTCGAGAACCCCAAGAGCAGCCCAACGACGTGGGAGTACATCGTCAAGGCAGACCATCTGAAGCAGCTGTCCTTCGCGCACTTCGACAAGAACGGTAGGAGCTCGTGTTTGTTGACGCTGCTCCCCGCATTCTAAAGAACCGAGGCATGTTGTCCAAATGGCCTGCAAAGACGTGCTTTGGACAGGTCCAAGGCGCCTCTTGGTGGGCCATATCAGCTTTGTGGTTCTCAGCCTTGTGGTTCTCAGCCTTGTGGTTCTCAGCCTTGTGGTTCTCAGCCTTGTGGTTCTCAGCCTTGTGGTTCTCAGCCTTGTGGTTCTCAGCCTTGTGGTTCTCAGCCCTTGTGGTTCTCAGCCTTGTGGTTCTCAACCTTATGATTCTCAGCATGTTATGGTTATCAGCCTTGTTATCTGTTTTGCCTTTTCCACAACAGTGGCAGGAGGCCAAGTTAGTTGATGTCACTGCACAACTTCCCAAGAGCCCCAGCTCAATGTCCAATTTGTCTGCCAAGGCGCACTCTTAACTGGTTATTTGCCATTTTCTCTGTCTCGTGTTCTAGGTCCTGGCTCATGGATTGTTGTGGTATCCATTGACAGTGTCAGAACTCAGTGGATGAAGTTTGGCAATGCTGTTTGTGAGTCAACTTGGATGTTCCAATTTGCAGCGGATGGATTCATCACTGCTGACGAACTGCGTGAGACCCTTGGCCATGGTGCCAACGTCGAGGGCTTGATCAAGCAAGCTGACAGGAATGGCGATGGGAAAATCGACTACATGGAATTCTGTGATCTTCTGCGCAAGACCTGAAGAGTGTGTGGCTGCGCGCTGCCCATGTACGATGTGTATTCTACCAATATCCATAAGAAACAGTGAACCTGGGCTGTGCTTCGCAACAGCCTTTTTGTGGTGCGAGAACAACTGTCCCAATGTATGATGCATCAAAGTTTTGACGATGTCTGGACGCAGCATGGCCAAGCCTTGTTCAGAATGCAACTGCCATATGGCTATGGACGCCTGTGATGTGGCTGGCTGCTGTGGGAGGAACGTCCAGTTTTTTCTTCAAGGGCGTGGGTGGTGCCAAAGGGCCGAGTCTGGTGTTGTGACGGCACACTTTGTTTCCTGCCTTCGGTTGGTCCACCCCCGCTGCCCCTCATGTGTGACCGAAGTTTTGGTGGGCCGGACATGTTGTGCTGTGTCCCAGCCTGAGCGAGTGGTCAGGATGTGAGCAGTGTACATTTTGTGAGGTCGTGAACGCTGAGAGGCAAACTTGGCCTGATAACAACGGTTTGGCGTCTGGGCGTTGTGTCTTTTAGTGAGCCGTGGACATGCCGGGAAAGAGACCTTTGGAATGGAGACCGTTTGTTGTACTGGAGGGTGTGCAGATATTTTGTGAGGTTCAAAAAGTTCCACATGCCAAGTTCTGCGTCCTGGCTGCTCTTTTCACCTCTGGCCTGCCAGTTGCTTTCATTTGCAGAGGCGCCTCTGATGGCTGGCCACCCGCGCTATCAGTATTGCCCAGCCTTCACGCGACTTCAGAAGAACGAAAGCGCAGCGGATGAAAACAAACAGCCGCAATGTACAATTCTGTTGCAATTGGCAGCCAGGACGATCTGTTGAAGGCGCCGATGCGCTGTGTCCATTGCAGACATGGAACCTGTAACATGCAGAATATTATGCTGGTTGTCGATAACGATTTTATGAATACTCGTATACGAATATACGGCATACGAATTGCGTGAGAAAGGTGATCGCATGCCTGGTGGCAATATCGTGAGCTGAATGGCATCGTCAACATAGTTCGGCAAATGAACATCAATCGAGCGGACACTGTGGATTGCAACGGCGACTTCCCAACACAGCATTCAATCGTCACCAGCGCCTGTCGAACTTCGGCTCAGGCGGAGGACTTGGGCAAGGCTGTCGTCTGCATTTGTCATATGCTCACAGGAAGCATGTGAAGTGCGGACAATTGAGCAGAATGTACCGATAATTCTGACATCATTGTACAACAATCAAGTCCCAACAGTGCCCAAACAATGCAACGATGCATTGATAATCACTTGTGGGCCGTCCCACACGTACTGCTCCCTTCTTCCCATGGGCGCGCAAAAGATGTCGCCCAACTGAGAGAACCGGATTGTGAGGCCTGCTTCAGTGTGCACACCCAGGGCGTGGATCGCCGTGTGCTATCACAGGCTGCACACCGGATCCGTGAGGCTCAGCAACTTGATGCACCTCAGGAAATCTGCGCCGCGAACAGCTGGCCGATCGTAACGGGACGAACTTTTGTCTGATGCCCGTCATTACTCGAACAGGGGCTCATGAAAGGACCGTGAAGGTCATGAATGATATGATCTCCCCAGCCACTCGCAAACCCTGGAGAATCCTAACCCGAAGATGACGTTCATGTGACCGAGAACGCGACCTAAAGTGACCTTGTGACTTGGGAAGTGATGGGCATTGGATATTTGTGTCGGGCGCTGTCCAACACGTACATGTTGCAACGAATCATGTATGGGCGTCAGGTTGCATCGAACAAGGCACATGCTGTAAACGTTTTACATGGGCGACGCTGCCAGGTTGCGCGTACCTCTCGCCGTCTCAGTATGGCGCAGCACAGAAGATTTGCCCAGCAAGATGGACAGCACTACTGTGCGGTCGGGACCCGGGCCATTCCCATCTATGCCGGCACCGTGCAATTGCACTGAAGGTTTGATCATCGCCTGTTCACCATTCAGCTACACTTCTGCGGTACCAACTTTGCTTACTCGCTGCTCCCTCTCTAGATAACATGCACAGGTGGTTAGTGCGGTGGCCATTTCATGCGGGGGCTCCAGCATTGAAGCATTGCTTGTGCCAAGCTCACGACATGAAGCGAACAACGAGTTTATCACGCAGAAGGACATCGTTAACTTCGGCTGTTTTTTCTCCGATGTGCTCAAAGCTCCGTCAAACAACCGCTTGATGGACACACGAAACTTACTGCCTGTCAGCCCACCCCCGTGTGCAAGTGTCCCCTTGCAAGCTTACCCCTTAAGTGCCGCTGGTGCTCGTCCGCTCTGGAACAGATCTGCGCAGCAGACCAAGCAAAAGCCAGTCAGGACACAAAGCCAACACTCCCAACAAGCATACATCAACATAGACGGACTGGTCAGCCTGCCAATTACAAGAACGCTGCGCTGAAATCCAACCGCGGTGCTGTTGGCTTGCCGGGACTCCCAGAACGCCATAACATTACACTTCGTTTGGTGTGTTGAAACGGGAAAGCAACTTACAATTTGTCAGCGCTGTCGCACCGGAATCGTAAAGAATTGCGCCACCAGCGACAGCACAACGCAGCTCACAGCCGGAAAAAATGACGGCGCTGGTGCAACGTTGATGGACATTCCTGCGACATGTCTGTTGATGTGCTGCTAAGCAGCGTTGCAGCAAAGTCCATGTGCCAGAATCTCATGCACAACAACGGTCGTAACTTCGGTGCCCCTGGAGAGAACAGACTATAAGAGTTCATGGCCCTCTGGTGCCAATGGCATCAATAGCATTATTTCCGAACATGCGTTGCGACGCAATACTTGATTATGAGATACTTTCAAGTATCCCCTGCTAATCAAAAAAGTTCAGCGATGGCCATCAATGTTGCATCAACGCCGCCCTTGCGTTGGGATGTATCTGCTCTTTCTTCCCGTCAAGCCTTGGATCGAAAGCTCCAAGTCGACAGAAAAAAACCCGCAAGGGTAAACGTGGCGGCACCTTGTCTGAAACAGCTGCCCATTCCCTCCACTCAAAATCAAATCTATTGTCCCGTTTCCGCCTTCTTCGCTGCCACAATCACCGGCGTTTCTCCTGCCTGAAAACCACACACATTGCCAGAGTACTAAACTGAGCTGCCTGCAGATAGAACAATGTGCAAATGCTGCATAGTTTCCCATGTGCAATGCTATGACAATCCATTCGCACTTTCTGCATCAGCCACGTGCCCCGCACGCAGGGAATGTGACAGTGGCTGATAAGATAGGTGGTCACAGACAATGCGGATGCAAGCAAACACAACACTGATCAGGATTGAAACAACTTTTGATAGGTGCGAAATTCCTATTGCAATGTCCTGACCAGCAGACACAAGACACGGTAAGCAAGAATCCCATGGGAAGGAGATGTAAAGCAAACAAACAGGAACACATCAGAGCAATAGCATTGGGATAGGGCACACGGCTAGAGTGCCCTGGACAAGGGCGTGGATAGCCTCGTTCAATGCAGACAAACTCCTAAACAGCTGGGCTTGCTTATATTGGATATGATTTCGAGTATAGGCTGGTGGGAATCACTTGCAATGTCGACGATTACTTTATTTGGAGATAAGCTGATGGATTGAGAACATGGCCATGCAAAAAGAATGGCCACACAGGAAATCCCAAGGGTTAATCAGGCAATCAACGTATTTATGATTGTGCGTGAGGTAAGCTTGGGAAATACGGATACGGCTTCAAATATTAATACGGTAAAATAGTCGTATTATCACGTATTTTGTTTTGTGCCTAAAAATCGTCTAAGAAGGCGGTAAAAAATTCACAACTACAACATCAATGACATGAAAATTCAATCATTTAGCATCCATGTCCGACCCATCTATAGAATACCCACC